GGTTTTTAGGAAAAACGAACAGAAACCATAAAAACAGCCTTAACATAGCGACAGCCTTGGATTCTGACTCATTTAATGTCACCAATCAGGATGACGGCGTATTATCTGACTGAACAATCCCACAGATTGGCTACGTTCACACTGCAGGACTTGATGCTCAATGAGGATTTCTTTGTGACTTCCTTCACGTTTCCAGTTCAATGCGACTTGTATGTGATCTGCTGTGTGAACTTCATACGAGCCAAAAGTGTCCCGCATGCGCAGAAGAGGACACGACGACGTCACACGCAGCGAGCGTGCTCAGTGTTTATGGAAGTAAACATGGATGGTAACGGTGGAGCGTATCTGCCACTCCCCCGCCGCCACCAATGGAGGAAACAGAAGTGTGAGCGCTAACTAAACTAGCATCAGCAGCCAAGTACTGCCTGTGTGTTCTGGACACTTCCAGGACTGTGCTGAATATTCAGATATTCATTATTAATTGGGCCTGAATATCCAGAGAGTAGAAAATGCTAGTGGGATCAGACATTAAGCTGTTTACTACCTGTAGGCGCCGCTGGCTGTTTCAGTGCTGCAGGAACTAACCCCATAGAAGCCCTTTCAAGCCCGTTTTTAGGGTTAAAAGAAAAAGTACCTCTTCAGGAGTAGGTACTTTGCCGTTGCTGGGGCTCGATGCTGATTTTGTGCATGATCTTAGAAGTGGAGTAACGACAGTACCTATAATTTGTCTTTGATGTGATGTGGAGGCTGCAACATGGTTATGTAACCTCATGATTATAGTGGCTCCTACGCTGGCAGTGAAACAGAAGGCTAAAAGGGCTAATTACAGGGCTGCTCCTGTCGTGATTAGGCTCCCACTTTGGTCCCAGAACCCCAGCTCAAGTGTAACCCCGGCGTTGTGATTTCTTTTGGCCATAACATTTCTGCTCCCGAGTGTCAAGTCTCAGGTTCATTTTGTGTATTCTGTATATTGTAAAACACAATTCTATCATAAGAGGTGTGGATGTTGAGCTACAATGGAGCTCAGAGGCAGAATCCAGTGCTGCTTCTTCAGACAGTGACTCTAGACTTTATAACCTTTTACATCATGTGGTGCAGAGCAGCTGATTGTTCTCCCCAGGGCACACTTAGTCCAGACTCCATCTGTCAGTGGAGTACCACCTATCTGTTCCTCCCTCGTTCAAAACTACTCTCAATCAATAAATGAACCCAGGCCCCTCGGGGTTATTTGCATGTTAACTTAGTGCTCTGGAACTCCTGGTGCACAGACGAGGCAAACAGTGAATAATTAATGAAGCATTTCGATATATGCCGTATAGGGAGAGTTGTCTGAGACCAGTGAAGTTGTTGAAGGTGACGGGAGGATTCCATGCGTTGCTTTGTGGAGATGCCTCCACGATCAGCAGCGTGTTGTTTCTGATGATTATACAGCACGGCCGAGTCAGTTCACAGCTAATGGAAGTTTGTGGAGTTGTCTTTTCTTACACAGTGTTTGCTGTCGGTCTGTGCTGGAAATTTTGTGTTTCTTTTAAAAAATAAAACTCTATGGAGGATTCTAAAATCAGTGAACTCAGAGGGTTTTATTTGCTTAAATCATTTACACCCTCTCAGGGCTGCAAGGTGGATCAGTGGTTAGCATCGTCGCCTTGCAGCAAGAAGGTCGCTGGTTCACGTCCCGGTGGGGGCACCGGGGATCTTTCTTCGTGGACTCTCCATGTTCTCCCCGTGTAGCGTGGGTTCTCTCCGGGTTCTCCGGCTTCCTCCCACAGTCCAGAAACATGCTGAGGTTAATTGGTGATTGTAAATTGTCCGTAGGTGTGAATGTGAGTGTGCTTGGTTGTCTGTCTCTAAGTGTAGCCCTGTGATAGACTGGTTACCTGTCCAGGTGAACCTGCCTTCACCCTGAGTCAGCTGGGATAGACTCCAGCCCCCCATGACCCTGGTGAGGATTAAGGTGTAGATGATGGATGGATGGATGGATTCTCCCTCCCAGAGGAAGCCATGTTCATATGATTGTTCTATGTCGTCATCGCCACCATGTAGCTATGGAGGTAACAACAAAATTACGAACTGGAGTTTATGTGACACATTAAATGTATGGATTTGACTCTAACACTATTGGTCATGATGGAGTCGCTCTGCTCTTGCTGGTGACCTTTTTCTTCAAGTTATTTTTTTGGCCTTTTTGCCTTTATTAGATAGGACCGTCAAGAGAGAGACAGGACAGTGGGGGAGAAGAATGAGGGAAGGGTTACAGCAAAGGGCCATGAGCGGGACTCGAACCCATGGCCGCTGCATCGGGGGCTATAGCCCCTGTACATGGGTCGCCAGCTCAACCAGGTGAGCTAAAGTGACGGCCCGGTGACCTTTTCCTTAACATGGTGATCCAAGGGGAAGTTGGTAGTGGCTTTGTGCAACAAACTAGTCTTGCTTGTGCACATTTGGAAGGTGTTATTGGTTATTACGGTTTGTTTGTGGCTATTTAAGAGATTTTGTATGAGATTTGTATGCAATTGTTCAACTTTCAAGTCTAAAGCAAAACATGTAAATGAAGTATCGATCGCACACCTCTTTAAAGACAGACGAGGAAGCTGCTTCACTCAGCCTTGCCCTCTATCTGGTACCCACGGTGTAAGCCTGGTTCCGGCCCTTCGTAAATCTCAGAGGAGCAGTCTCTGTTTAGTTTTAAACTCTTTGGAGAGAGCGTTCTACAGCCGGCGATCAATAGCCTCCCCGGCAGGGTGCGGAGGTGGCAACATCAATTACCACTGGGATCAAGTTGATAAAGCGGTGTCCTTTTGGAAATGGCAGCTAGCCTCCTTGTCGCTGTGTACAGGAAATAAGGTTGTCTGCATTAAAATAAGGCGTCTGTGGGCTGAGCTGATGTGCAGCTATAGGTTCATGTCATACCTGTTGTACCAGTCAACCGTTAAAACTGTGAAGTCCATCGACAGTTTCAGCTGCTCCTCTGACACACCATCATATATATGTTCAGAGAAATGTTGAGGGCATTTTACTGCAGCACACGATGAAGTTAATACCTTATTAATCTGACTTTTCCTGTTCTATGTTCATGGTGTTGGTTTGTGCATGTTTGTGCACGTGAGTCCCTCCCTTTGAAACCGTCCCTGTATTTAAAACCAGACTGAGAGAGATCCACCACATGGCACGGAGGAAGTGGAAGTCCAGTGTTCAGCCAGTGCCCTCAAAATCCAAAGAATATAAAAACAAAGCTTTATATTTATCCTATTTACCTAAATAATATTCGCTTGTTCAATTTGTACAGAACAAAGTGTATCACAAGGTTATTACGGTTCATACTGAGGGGAGCATGAAGCTCTGCACCAGTTTTCACGGCCACCCATCAAATTGTATTAAAAACTAATTGTGCTTCTAGAGGAAAAGTTCTTACGCTTCATCCTCTGGGGGCCATGAAGCTTCATGTAGATTATTTTGTACAAAGAACCGAGGTGCGTATTGCCTTCCATAGAGGCCTTTAAATTTACCAGATAGCATCAAAGAAAGAATAAGCAATGAATGGTTGTTCTCACTATTTGGTTAATTTGAAGGTGTTAAGAAGACTTTCAACTGGGTAAATGATTTCATGATTAACTTCCTGCTTGTAAAAGGCCACCTTAAAGTGTATGCTGGACAAAGGCATGTCAGATAGGGCTGCAGCCAACCGTTTATATGATCCCAACTCCTGCATTTGTGGTCTAAGCAATCATTTCAAACAGACACATGACGCTCTGGATGGACTCGTATAAATGTGGCATTTGCTGACGCTGTCCCCCAAAATGTCACTGTCACCAAGACCTTCAGGAAGCCGGCATCGACAGCATCATCAACTCTCAGTGTTGTGATGCTGCTTATTTATTCATAGGAGTGTAGACAGGTGTAGCAGTGATCAGCATTTGTCCATTTAGTCCAGCTTTAGTAGATTATAATTTCTACTGAAGCTTTTTTTCTGAAGCAGCGTGACTCGAGCCTGTCTTGTTTTGTGTCTCGGTGCATTTCCAGGCCGTCCTCTGCGTATAGCGTTAATGCTGATGGCTGTGGTGTCAGAGCCGGTGTTAGCCGGTGTCACAGCCGTCGGTCTTCTCAGCCACCCTATCTAGTGGGTAAAGACGTTTGCAGGGTCAAAGGGGATTGAACAAAGGGAACCGACGGCAAACACGACCCCCTTTTCAAAAAGCGGAAATGGGATTGATTCCTGCACTCTTGTTGCTTAGCAACTGGAAAGCCTTGTTGAGATGGAATATTGACCTCTTGTTGATAAAGTCCAATTACATTTTTTCCCTTCACACTGTATATCCAGATATTCTGCTCCCCGTGTGACTATATTTCATTCAATATATAGAAACATGATACGGTTATGGTCACACGCTGCTGCGGCCTGTGACTGAGAAGGTCTTGAATGAAATAAGACGTTTCTCGTAGCATTGTTGCTAATTTTGTCAATTGAAATGTTTTAGGACCTCCCACTAACTACACGGCCCCGGAGCTGCCACAGGAACCACCAGAGATGTAATCCAACCGCAGCCAAACGTCCTGCACGTGTTCCAGCAGGCCCTGAAATGAAAATTGATTTCTACATTTCATTAACATTTTCTCCTCCTCTTTTTTTCTGTGCGCTCTCTGTTAGAGCGTCCACGCTTAACTGGATGGGCGCCGTAATTGCAAATTATCAGGTGCTAATCGATTAGTTCTGTCTGTGGCTGTGAATGAGCTTTGCAGTGAGCAGTTTTTATGAGTTTGAAGCTCCTTTAACATAACTCAGAGGAACGCAGCTGGCTCATAGGTTAATTTAAGCTCAATAATCTTATCACTGTGACCTCTTTGATGTTCCATACTTTACAGTTTCATACCTGCTGCATGTCTTTGTGAGAGGGTTGCGGTTATATTTTTGACAGGAGACAAACCTAAACTTGAGGGAAACTTCTGGGATGTTTGCTTGGAGATAAAAAGAGGACATTTTTTTTGCTTTACTGTTTTTCCAGAGCACGTCTGCTCCATCATCGCCTCCATGCTGAGAAACCTCAAGTCCCAGCAGAGAAGCAGACTCCTCAACAAGTTCACAGAGAACGACTGCGAGAAGGTTGGTTTTCATTGTCTTCCTCCTGTTTTCTTTCCCTTCTTCACAGTTGTTTTGACAGCTGAAGTGTCCGTGTTTCTTCATCGTCCATATGCTGTGTTTGCAGGTTGTTTGCAGTCCCTTGAATAGCGAACACGTCTTTGTGTTTTCTAAATTTAAATGAAAACATAGCGCCTCAGTCGTCTTCTTACTGCAGGGTCCTACACAAGACATTTTTGGATGAGTGTTTTTGATGAGTTTTTAGCTCTTCTGTGGCCCATGCTCAGCTCATCTGGTTGTTCCTTGGGTTCAGAGGGTTAAATAGTAATTCTGTTTTAGTTTTTTTGTGTTTAGGCTCCAGCCACCAGCATGGGGAGGTCACATGCATTTTCTCCTCGACTTTATGGTTCGACTGTGACGATCAAATGGATGATAAAGACGATCAAAATATGTCGAGAAATCCTGAATTTCAGTTGTTTGTTGTTCGAAGTTGTGGCTGTTTGTGCTGTCCTTGGTTTCTTTGTCGACTTACGTAACGATGCTAGTCACCTTTATATAAGCTGGCTTTATGTCACGTTAGAAGACATCTGACTGAACCAATCACCAGATTTTGTCTGTTTTTCAGATCTCTGAGTGCACACGGCCACTTAAATGCATCCAGGTTCACATTTAGGTCCCTCTGTACCTGTTTACTGTCTGCCAGTGCTACAAAACCGGAGAAAATAATCCTAGCTGCAGTTCTAAAGTGCAAAAATGTCTGATATCCAGTCTGCTGCTCGAGGCCACTTTGATAGGACACAACAAACCGGCTGTCGTGCAAAACAAACAGGAAGTGATTTGTTGCTGCGGAGCCATCCCAGAATTTCATTTCTATCATCCATCTTCTGCACCTCGTTGTTCATTTTAGCGTTTACACAGGGCTTCTTTGGCCATATCTTAATACAGCAAATTAGATTCTTAGAAATAGTATAAACAATCTCTCTGTTCTCTTTATACACCTTCTGTAGCCAGAAGAGTATATAAGGAGCAGACCATCAGTATCTATTATTAATTCACTATTACCAAACCAGTAGGGTTGTTGTGTGTTTATCCCAGATCATATTTTCGTATAAATCCCATTTGGTTCCGTCTCTGCTCGCTGCGCTCTCCTTTCCATTCATGTTTTCCTTATTTTCACTTTGTTTGCTGCACCTCTCACTGTCTCTCCGCCTGCCTCCGTCTCGTTCTCTCTCCAGGTTGATCGACTGATGGAGCTGCATTTTAAGTACCTGGAGGCTGTTCAACAGGCTGACAAGAGGATCGAAGGAGAGAAACATGTGAGCGCCTCTGCTTTTCCTTCCCTCGATTCCTCCCTTCCTCCCCTCAGTGTGTCCCCTCTGTCCTCCTGTCTGCCTCTGATAGACTTGTTGGATTCACTCAAAAAGGTTTGCTTTGTTGATCACAAATAAAGAACAATCGAGGAGTTGTGTCTCATGAAGACATGATTAGACGTCGCCGTGTCAGACGGTTGGTTTGAGGGTATAAAGCCAACGTGGCCAGCAGCAGCTTGTTCAGTTTGTAGACAGAAAAAGTGATGATATGTCACGTTAACCTAATGAAAGCTTACTGCTGAGATTAGCTCCTAGCGTATGAATAAAGACCCTGAACAATAACAGTATTTCTACAATGTTCATAGGCTGCAAGGCACATAATCAGGTAAATAAGCTGTCGACATCACAGCTGAGTGGTTTTCCTTTTGTTGACCGTCTCAAAACACCGATGCAGACTTTCGTATGTTACAGACCTGAGGAAAAAAATCCTGTCAACTCACAGGGTTCTGGATCATTCCTCTTCTTCAGAGGCTGTTTCCAGTTTAAACACATGTGGCTGAATTATTCCAATATTACACCTTACCTTTGTTTAGGATAGTCTACCAGTCGTAGGTGAGCTGGTGGAGAAAGAGGTGGGGACTTCTTTTCTTTTTTATGGTAGACTGTATTTGGCGCTTACTTCCTCAAGCGAGGGAGTTTAAGTATCTCAGGGTCTTGTTCACGAGTGATGGGAAAACAGAGGTGGACCAGCGGCTCGGTGCGGGTGCTGTACCGGACCGTCGTGGTGAAGAGAGAGCTGAGCCACAAGGCGAAGCTCTTGATTTACCAGTGCATCTACGTCCCAACCCTCACCTATGATCACGAGCTTTGGGTTGTGACCGAAAGAACGAGATCGAGGATACAAGTGGCTGAAATGAGCTTGGGTGGCTGGGCTCAGCCTTAGAGATAGGGAGAGGAGCTCGGATGTCCGGAGTAGAGCCGCTGCTCCTGGGTTAGGGTTGGGGTCGAGAGGATCCAGTTGAGGTGGTTTGAATATCTGATTGGGATGCATCCGGAGAGGCTTCCTCTGGAGGTCTTCCGAACACGTCCACCTGGGAGGAGACACCGGGGAAGACCCAGAACCTGCTGGAGGGATTATATCTCTCGGCTGGTCTGGGAACGCCTCGGGATCCCCCAGGAAGAGCTGGAAAACATCACTGGGGGGAGGGAAGTCTGGAATGACCTGCTCCGCCTGCTGCCCCTCTGATCCGACCCCGGATAAGTGGAAGAGGATGGATGGATGGATGGATGGATGGACTTTATTTAGTCCATTTTATGCCTTTTGTTTGTCAGAAAACAGATATAAAATGTGAGGAGCGAGCAGAAAGTAAGATGCAGCACATGACCAGAGGAGTCACTGAGTTGCTGCTCAGGGATACTTGCGCCCATGTTGAACGTCCACCAACCACTCGGCTATCAGGTCACGCTTCTCTGTTTATTTATTATGACAGGTACTTTTAGGACTTCCTGTTCGAGGTAAAAATATGGGGTAAGAGAATGGAAATTTATAATCCATTGCAGCTAACTGATGCGCTCACACTGATCAGGAAACTGTGGTACAAATGTGCAAAATTTGTGTAACACTGAGGGTTTTTTTTAAAAAATAACACTGAGGGTTTTTTTTAAAAAACCTCAAATCAACCGGGTAAGGAAAAACAAAGAAAGACGATAACCATCCCTTAGAATCGACCGCAGTCAGGAAAAATGTGAACTTCAGGACAACATCTTCACACATCCGTGGTTTTGTTACTGCTCGTTAGATTAAAAACTAACAAACAGACATTGACATTGCGTTATAGATGTCAGATATAAAGCGCTGTCCCTGGTATAAAGGCTTGGGTTTGTGATGGAGACGCCGTGTCTGTTTGGGAGATAAAATGTGCAGTTCCACACAGCGTCACATCTAAAGCCATACGGGAAGGGACCTGAAACACCGTCACAATCTCGCTGATAATAATACGATAGTTTACAGAGGAATGGAAAGTTTGATGGCTGTGTATTGAGATGTCTGTGTGTGTGTGTGTTGAGCTGTGGGCGAGACAAACCGATGGAGGCATACAGATAGAAGATAAGTTACCAGGCAGGGGATGATGGCGTGAACGGAGAGACAAAGAGTGTCCTGTCCTTAAAAACAAAAGTAGAAAAAAGCCTTGTAGACATACTGTGAATGCAAGAAGAGGAGTTAAAGGATGGGTAAATGTGGGGGAGAAAAAGGAAGCGAGAACGAGTTTGAGTGAAAGAGGGAACGGCGAGGGGCAGGGAGGTGTGGGTGGAGACAGATAAGTGTGAGATTCCTATCTTAAGATGACAGAAGATTAATTTCTCAGACAGACATCATGGAAGGATTGCCAGAAAAGGCCAGACAGTTTGACATTTTCTCTCCCTCCTCCTCCTCCTCCTCTTCTTCTCTCCCCGTCTCCCTCAGTCACTCTCTTCCTCCAGGATGGTAAAAGCATGACTTTGTGATAACCTGGTGATAAGAAACCTTTAGAGCTATACTGTGAGACCCGTGAGGCGAGAAGTGATAAAATACCTATTTGTGGCATAGCAACAATATTCTCTTCATTACACTCTGAAAAAAGGAACCTTTGAAAAGAATGAGCCCCAATATCTTTTTAGCTTCATGCTGTTCCATACAGAGGAGCTCAGTGTGGCACCTAAAGACATCGTAGTGCATCTCTAAAGGTGGAATAGTGTAAAACATTTCGTAGTTTATTCAAAA